ACAATGCATGTGAAGCCAGCTGTGGGGTATATTCAATCCTATAGATTTCTCATTGTTTGGTAACTATTTGCTGCAAATGCAACAAAAATCAATATAAAAAATATTACCCACACAGTATTCTACAGGTTACTTGTTTCAGTTAGAAGTTGTTTAGGACATGTACTGGGCTGATAAAGGGTTAGTCTGCATGTATATACCTGGAGGCTTGTACATTGTACTAGTTTTAAGACCTGGTTGACAACTCAAGTGTTCTAGGCTGTGTGAAATCTGAGACAGTGTCCAATTATGTGTGAGTGAATTGTGAAGTGCTACAAACAACAAGATATTTTATTATCTTTCTATAATGGCATCTTCAGAATACTGAAGTATTCAGTGCAGTCTGGCAGTTCAGAAGAACGCAAATATTTATTATTTTTCAGTGATTATTTTCACCTTTGTGGCAACCTGTTCCTGATTCAGGTGCGTTTTTTGCATATTTATACTGAACAACTCAGCTCTATAGTTTTATAGCTTTATGAACCTTCAGGATGCATCATTGGAAGAAATGAATCTCTGGTGTCATGGTGTAGATATGAAAGAACTCTGCCTCTTGGTTTTGTCAAGCGAACATCAGGAAATATTGTACAAGTCGACAACTTTATCTGGGTGAATTGTCAAATGCTTCGTCATCTTGAAAGAATAAGCCTCTCTCTGTCAGCCTCTCACTGATTATTTTATGTGTAATTCCCTATAGTGGGCATTGTGCACCATGATTTTCCATCGCATGCCTGATTCCAACAAAATGGTGTCTACGTGATCCTTAGCTTTCACATCGCATATTGTTTGACATTAGCTTGATATAGGGTCACTTTGTCCATGCAATTGTCAAAAGTATGTATCAAATGTAAAATCAATATTTTAGTATGATTTGATCATCTTTATCTGTTGATATTTAAAAATTGAAAAAGTTACCTAAAAATACTTTACTCTATATCATGTTGTTGAGAAATTCTTGATTTAATAAAAAAAAATATAAATTTTAAAACAAAATAAGTGTGAATACGTAGACAATCAAACTTTATTGTTTGTATCTCCAAAAGTGGCATACATGCACAGTTGTGATTTTTATTGTTGAAAACCTCTCATTCCATTTTGAATCAAGATTCCTACAAAATCTATTCTGTTAGAGGGCACACTGCACTTTACATAGGTGAACTAACAGAACAAATATTTTGGTTGAAAAAGTGCCAAAAGTTACTTTTAATGTTTAAAAAGTTATAAGCTTGTTATTGAAAAACAAATACATGATCACATGTGGAAATATTCAGTGAGAGATCATATAACTCATATGCATATTATTAAATTAACATAAACATTTACACATGTACTTCAGTGGTTGCCACCCCTACCCCAAATTTCAAATGGTTTGGTCCATTATAGGAGACATTCTCAGTGACAGTATTGCTAGAGTAGGTTTCTACAATTTAGGGGTTGACTATTAGAAAGTTGGGGCTGAGGAGCTATGCAATTTTTTTTCCTTCACTCAGTTTTGCGCTTTTTATTTTTTATAATGTTGCTGCCAATTTGTTTTTGCTATTCTTTTTCCAATATTGCGTTGGATTTTTTTAATAATTTTTTTTCCTGTAACATTATCAATTTTTTCAAATATACACCCCTCCTATTTTTTCTTTATAGATTTTTCACTGAAATTTCTTATTATTGTTTAACCTCCAGTGAATTTTATTATTAAATTTATGTAGCTACTGGGGTAAGTCTTCTGATAAAGTTTATGTAACAGAATTCCAGAGCTGGCCAAGTAAAGTGTAATATAATCCCTATGTCATAAATAATAGTTGTTGCAAGTTATCATCTTCACTGGCTTCCCTGGAGTTGGATACTGGGCGAGTCACAAAGACGAGTTAGTGTTAGAGTTATAAAACCAACACTGTTATTCTGATTCCCAGGCTGTATTGCTAGATTCCTGTGGTACATTTTCTTTTATAATTTTTTTTGGCAAAAAAAATATATGAACAATTTTATGCAAGTTTAAGTTTTGAAAATTTGCAGAAGTTGATTTTGATGTTGAAAGGTTTAGAAGAAATAAATTCCACTTCCAAATAATCATTTTACGATTTTCTTTGTCATGTGTTATTTTTTGTATCTTGCACATTCTAGTTAGTAGCAAGTCATGATATAGTCAGGCTTCTTCATCAAATCCACCATCTTGCACATTCTAGTTAGTAGCAAGTCATGTTACAATCACTAAAATAGTCAGTTTTTAAATATCTATCATGATATAGTCTTGCAGGTCAATGTTTGAATTCACATACTGTATTTGCTATATTAGTATTTTATGTGCTTATGTAAATGAAAATCCAATTTTTCTGTTGATGTGTGTTTCTATTAAACATTCTAAATGTTTGATAGTATCATATATTTTTTTAGCTCGGCTGTCGACTTTGTCGAGCGGAGCTTATCATATGAGTGATTGTCCGTTGTCGTCTGTCAATGTTTTACTTTTTCGACTTCTTCTTGAAAACTACAAGCCTGAAATCTATAATACTTGGTGTGTATGTACCTAGGGTAGACCTCTCTTAGATTTGTCCATTGATATCATGATGATATCTTCAATTCTCTAATTTTGGTGAATATTTTTGTCATTTTTGGTAAAAAGTGATATTTTTGAGTTCTTGTCCAAATTCCAATTGCTTTGATATTACATATATAGATACTACATGTAGACCTTTCTCAGATTTGTTCATTTTGTGATGATATCCTCAATTCTCTAATTTTGGTAAATATATTTTTGTCATTTTTGGTAAAAAGTGATATTTTTGACTTCTTGTTAAAAACCGCAAATCTGATTGCTTTGATATTACATATATAGGTACTACATGTGGACCTCTCTCAGATTTGTTCATTTCGTGATGATATCCTCAATTCTCTAATTTTGGTAAATATATTTTTGTCATTTTTGGTAAAAAGTGATATTTTTGACTTCTTGTTAAAAACCGCAAATCTGATTGCTTTGATATTACATATATAGGTACTACATGTGGACCTCTCTCAGATTTGTTCATTTCGTGATGATATCCTCAATTCTCTAATTTTGGTAAATATATTTTTGTCATTTTTGGTAAAAAGTGATATTTTTGACTTCTTGTTAAAAACCGCAAATCTGATTGCTTTGATGTTACATATATAGGTACTACATGTAGACCTTTCTCAGATTTGTTTATTTTGTGATGATATCCTCAATTCTCTAATTTTGGTAAATATATTTTTGTCATTTTTGGTAAAAAGTGATATTTTTGACTTCTTGTTAAAAACCGCAAATCTGATTGCTTTGATATTACATATATAGGTACTACATGTAGACCTTTCTCAGATTTGTTCATTTTGTGATGATATCCTCAATTCTCTAATTTTGGTAAATATATTTTTGTCATTTTTGGTAAAAAGTGATATTTTTGACTTCTTGTTAAAAACCGCAAATCTGATTGCTTTTTCTCGTCATCTTCCCTTTAGTGTTTTTCTGCAGATTTTATTTTTCAACCCTCCCAATTTAAAATGGCTAACCTAAGTTTCTAAATTTCAATAAATTTTGTGTTTACATTTGTATACTTAGAATCAATTGATCAAACATGTATTCTTAATGAAACATACATGTATGGCTGTTGTGTTAACGTATTTATATACATTTCTCTAATGTTGCGACTATGAACAAAAATTATGTCTCTTGGTTCTGTTTTGGAGGAAGTAACTCGTCCTTGAAAAGTCATGTTTGTTGTAAATGTTTTGCATGTCACATTTAAAGAAAACATCAGCAGATATTGTACATGCTGATTTTCATGGTCCATTTATATATACATGTATATATATGGTTTATTCAGTACTATGACCATGGTACAAAGTAAGACAAATTAACATACACTTAATGGGAAATTATCTAGATCAACCTGGTGATTTACATATGGTCAATTATCGATTTTCACACAAAACAAAAGTAGCAAGTCGTGATAAAACTCTGGAATTGTTAGTTTGAATAAGGCGTATAAATGTATGATATGAATAGTCCCTATAGGAAGATAAAATCATTATATTGTGGACATAAATATATATATACATGTATCATTTACTACTGTGAAAAGTTGATTTGTTATTTAATCTTGTGTATACATTGTATGTATAAAATGAAATGGTTGTTAGGCAGCCATTTTGAAAAAAAAATTAAAATAGCCTGCATCAAAAATCCAGTATAATTAATATATAATGTTTGTTTTGAATGGAATACCTTCAAGTAATTGATTAGGTGAAAAAAATGTGAAAAGTGCCCAAAAAACTATTCTGCTACCTTAAGCAATTATTTCTTTGTATTCATTTCGAACAAAATTTGTCAATATTTGTCTGGGAAATGCATACATACACTTGAAAAGAAATTATGGAATGAATGAATTCAATAGTTTTTGTATTTACAAGTATCGTATTTACTTCATCAGAAACATGTGTTTACATGAATAACTGAGTTATGTAAATGGAGGTGCACCTCTAATAGGGCAAATACGGTAACGTACATTATACCAGCATATCTGAATCAGGAGTGGTTAAGGTGACATTTTCTTGACAATTTAGGGGTAAATTTAGTTTTTAAAATCACATGTTCAAGTCTAATTAATCGATAAATTATTTTATTAGACTGATATATTTTTTTTCTTTGATACTTACACAATATTATTCTATTAATTTGAGCTAAAAATAATGCGACTCTAGTGGGAACTCTGTATTAGTAAACTCGTACTCATGTGACTTAACTCATCTGACTTTTAGCCTACTCCATTTCATTACAGTAAATGATGAACGAGGAAGAAAGCCTGGACTGGTTAGAGGAGCTATTAGAGGAAGTACAGCTAGAGAAGTTCTTCAGGCCTATCAGAGATGACCTCCATATCACTCGACTCTCCCACTTTGACTATGTTAAAGGGGAGGACTTGGAGCGGATTGGCATGAGCCGACCCGGTCATCGGAGACTGTTTGATGCAATAAAAAAGAAAAAAGCTGCTCGTAGGAAATCCTGGATTGGGAAAGTAAGTAAACATATTTTACTAATTGTTAATTGCATTTCAGTCTGTGTTGGTTGGCTGTTCAGTTACCATGGTACGAATCATGTCATCTGTTGCAAATACATAAAGATGTAGAATTCTTAGAAAACAAGAATACATGTATGCACTCAGCTATTACCAGGTTTTTTACTTTGTTTTGGGTTGGTTTTCCCCTTTTTGAGGCCCTCTTTTCCTTGGGGAGATAATATGATACTATATTAATGGGTGCTATAACATTCCAAAGTCACAGTGATATACAGTATCATGGACACTTCAAGTTAATATTGACATCCCTTTTATTCATGTGTTCTCAGTATTATTGTCCATACATGTCTCTGTTTCTGCCCTCATCGCAATATTTTCACTAGGGATGTCAGTGTTTCAATTGTGTTTTATGTGTGTAGGCTTGGAACCCGATATAACTGAGGAAGTAGGTGAAAGTGGTCAAGTTATTCGTATGAATGTTTAACTAGACTTATTGATAGTATAGTACTGTAGTTGTAATTTGTGTGAAAATATTTTTGTTTTTCACTGTATGTTAAAGGAAATAACAGTGAAGATAATATAATATAAATCTTATAAGTTGAATCAGAACCAGTACCAGTTGTGTTCTCATCGAATATTTGAGTGTTGGCCACCATTAAAACTGATCGCCACCAGACTTTTTCACCCAAATTTCTCTGCACTCATTTTTTGTATTTTTCATCAATACCAATAATTGTGGAGCAAACAGACAAAATTTGAGTCAATTTTCAGTTTTTATTCAATAAATGTTGCTATTTTTGTTGCAGTCTTCTGAAGGAAAGTGCAGATATTAAATGGAACTATTTTGTGAATTTGATAAACTAGAGAACTGGTGGTGAAAAGGTTAAATGAATGAATATAGAATAAATCAATTTTGATTTCTGTCATAATGTCATAAGTCAGAGTGGCAAGCATTTGTTTACAATCATCACCTAGGGTATACATACATATGTATAGTGTGTATTTTTGGAGGTTATGCCAATCATTTAGAATTTATATTTAATCAAAATAACATACAGTGAGTGACACAAAGACATGAATGTTATTGGTATAAAATATGGTTAAAAGTTATTATGAATTTCAAATGACTTTTTAAAAAAACTTGACCAACCACAGTGCCTTATCTTTCATGTACATGGCAGTAAATGGCAGTTTAAAGTAAACATGTAAAAAGACTCATAGGCATCTCTAGCCAATATAATCCTACAAAAATTCAAAATGCTTCTTCCTAATTCAAAGTCTTTGAGAGAATCCTGTCTTCCTTCGAATGTACATGAACATGTAGCTCGAAAATTGGGACTTATAATTTCACTTCTATGCGTCTGTTCACATCTATATCTCAAGCATGTCTGGGCCTTCAAATTTGGTATGTCCATTAAACATAATGGGTGCTTCATGCACGTCATTGTGCACATTTTTCCAGATTTGATTCAAAATGGCGGACTGATGGCCATTTTGTTTTTTTAACGACTGGGGTGATCATGATCAAACTTTACACATACATCATGTAACATATTTGAACATGCTTCTGTTAGAATCTGATTCAATATGGCTGATTGTCATTGCCGTGATAGAAATGTATTATGAATGTCATGGGCTGAATAAAGGAAGGAATCACACAAATAAATTGGCTCCACTTTGTATCGTCGCATGAGTATAAATAATTACTTGGCGCTAGTGTTTGACAGTTACTGGAAATTGGACAGGGACTTGACACTTGCTATTTCTGTGATTATGATAGAGGGAGAGCGCCCTCAAAGTTGTCTTTGATGCTGTCCCTTATGATTTATTGAGCCAAGTACTTAACAAAAGCAACACACATACAACAAATACTGAAAGCACTTTAAAAGTCTCTTTCATAGAATTCAGTAGGACAGTGAACTTTGGCTTTGCGTGGGTGGACGGTAGTTTCTCTATATAATATCTCCATTTGTGTGCCATTTTACTTCAATCTTGTCTTATATTTATTGTCTTTGCCTTGACATGATTGGTTACCTGTACTGGTGTGGAAATCCGATACCTACATACATTACATATTTTGGAATATTGGGTTTGTAATTTCCTGACTTTCAATACTATCTGTATTACTTCATAATGTTTGTTTTGAGTTTATTCCTCTCATTGTTGTGATGTTATATACATGTATATATTACAACTACAGCTTGTGAGACAATAGTGCCTGATATTGGATGAAATGACTCTTCTTCAAATCACTGTGACTTTAACCCTTCACAAACCATAATTTCTTCTACAAAAATTATTTTTATGTATTGTTCTTTAATTATTTTGATAATTTTGAACTGAATGGCCATAATTGGCTATTATTAGTCTTGATCAAAGTTTTAGAAAAAAATTAAATGAAAAATGAAAATTATGTGGGTTTTCTTTTTCTTGAAAAAAAATAATTTTGTCCTCATAGGGGTATTAGCATGCCTATTTGATTATACAGTGAATATGTGATTTTCCAACTCTAAGGTAAAACATTTGGTGTTGTACAGTGTTATGAGTGGGAAAGATACATTCTAATAATCAGCTTAAAACAAGATGTTCGCCGTCCGTCATTTTTTCTTTCATATCAGTATCAGTTATTAAGGGTTGGATGCAAATTAGTCTGCAAACCACGAACCACAGATGTAAAAACAAATTTATTTCTTGATTTTTCTGTTAGTATTGATGCTTTCATTTCTGTGGATCAGATTTTACATTGTGCATCTCAAAAAGTAGATTGATCTTACCCGACAAGCTTTCATTTTTATATTTAATGGACTAAATGTTTAAATAATATGACAGAACCCCACACCCTCCCCGTGGCTTTCGTTGCGTATGGAAGTTATTTTCACGAGTGATGCGGTGTATCCTGTGGCCCTACTTTCATGAGCTAAGCGAGTGAAAGTACAGCAGAATACACCGCATCTCGTTGTTCCATACTTGATTATTTCGTATTAAAGAAAGAACGTGCAACCGGGATGGAATTTAGGTCGGAGAACCCCATTGCCCATTAATATGTTCCAATATAAGTGTTACGCCCTAGCAGCGCGTGTCAGTGTAGAACACGCCCGGAGAACGTGTGTCACTGTTTGTTTGAAATTAAAATAATCAGACGTCTAATCCGAGTCACTGTCTGAATAAATAACTCGTTGACGTTTAGTTGGGACCACGGCAGAACCAGAACTTGAACTGGACGACTATGATACATAGTTTATGATGTTGAAGTTAAAAGTTCCGCCACAGAATTGTGCATTGGCAAACATGCCGTGCAACTGCAGTACACTACTCCACAGACAGGATGACTTTCGTCGACAGTGGTTGTCGCTTAGCTGCACGCTACAACTTCGTGTGTGATGTTGCTTGCTGGCCGTGGATTGACTGAGTCTTGGTTACCAGTTAAATTGTTGCTCTTTTGGCATTGGTAATTTTTATTTGGAACTGAGTAACGCCGCAACGTCGCCAGCAGAAACCTGGTATCTCGATGCTGATGGTTGCGGCTGCATAGTAATCGCTGATTTTACTGCTGGTGGATCTTCTGAGAGCCCTTCAAGGTTTATAAAACTCAGTTTCCAGGTGGTCAACATACATTAAGTTCTCCCAATCGTAGTATTCCATGTGATGTACATCTG